GCACAGTCATGGAACACATTTCATAATTCATGACATCGTTTAGAGCTGGCCTTTGTGTTCTACAGCATCTCATCGCAATTCTGCGCTCAAAGTGAACATCAAAGAGGGAGCTGCTGTGCCCTCCCTTCACAGGAGCAACAGAGTGCCATTGTTTAATACTGGTAACGCAGGAAAAAATAGGCCTGGTTTAAGTTTGGTAGTAGTGCTGCTGGTGTTTGGTGTGTTGTTACATCACCATGCCATGACAAAGACTAGAAGAACCACATTTCTATCTCCCCTTTTGGCAGCCGGCTTTAATTCCACCTCTCACCTAACATGTCAGGCATATCCACGTGTTGACCCAAGCAATGAATGGAAAAGGTGAACCTAGGGCTTGTTGACGACAGCATTTATTTCACTGTAAACATTTATCTTCACAGTCCTTCAGTGTGTGTTCTGGTATGAGGACAGAACAGGGAAAATTAATTTCCATCCCTTGAAGAGAAGGGCTCCATTCTGTAGTTTTGGCACTGTTTGACCACTGTCTTCTCGGCTTTGTGAACACGTTTCAGAAGCTGCTGGCAATACGCAAGCTGATCTGCAGCACAACAGTGGTGGCACATTAAGGTCTTCTGACTTGTTGGTTTGTGGTTAAGCTACAGCAAATGTTCTGGAATATGAAATCCTTATGTGCAAAACAGCTGTAAGGTTTAAGCGCTTCAACATCTTCCACATGGAGAGCAAATTAAGATTTTCAATCCCATTTCCATCAATATCATAGAGATTTAATGGAGAACCACATGCTTTGAAGTATCCCATTACAGGAGAACTGCAGGGTTTTTCCATCTAAAATTCTGTGGTGTAAGTTGACCAGCAAAAAATGATCAAATTTCAAAATGCTTTTGCAAAAGTTTTTCACCAAAGGAAGTACCAAATGTTGGTGTTAGAGGTTAATTTGCCAAGTATTTAGAATGACATTTTGATATGTGGGGTCTTTTAAAAAACACCCTTTCAAACTGCTGTATACCAAAGATACAGGAGTACAAAATATTTTGTTCCAGTTTCTTTTAGTGTTCCTTGAAGTTAAAATGCTACTTTTTGTTGATTCCATTCACTCACTTTATTAAACTTTGCTATGTACTGTACTTCATGTTGGCAGTTACTCTCACACACATTAAAAAAGTAATATGTAATTATTTCAGAGACCTCACAATGAGGACAGAGTCCAAATAAATGATTCGAAATTTACAAATAAGTACAAATATTTGTGCATCTGAGGATCATTACCAATGCTACAAGATGTTAGCCCCCAGACCATGTGGAAGAATTTGATGGACATCTTTACCTAAAGGTTTTCTGTCAAACCACACAGGTGACAGTATAACTGGATTCACCTGAGTGAGTTACTGTATGTAACAGACACATTCCTGCCAGCAGCAAAGCCACAGAGAATGTAAACAAAGTAGACGCAGTACATTATAAACACGTTGTTGTACTCTTATTTCACCTGCTGTTTTAAATTACAGGGTATTTTGAAATGTTAACGTCCCCAGCGAATTTAAACAGAACGCTTGGTTATGACCTTTGGCGAAGTTCCAGTGCAATTTCTCTGAAACCCTCAACATGCTGTTCTGAAATCAGTCCTGACTTTCGGTTGTGGGTTGAATTATCTAAACTGTTTTCCCAGAAATCTTGAGTGTTCTGAAGCATTGTTTCAGTTTCTATTGTTTCTACGAGATTAATCTAAAACACAATGAGTTTTGTATTTGCTTTTTTATCTGTTTTTATATTTTTTTGAGACGCTCAAACAATATTTTTGGTATTCCTCCCACAGTACAAAGATGCTGGTAGGTTAATCGGCCTGTGAGGAAACTCGCCCTGGTGTGCGTGTAAGCCTGTTTGTATCACTGTCTGTCTTGCAATGGACTGGCGTCCTGTCCAGGGTGTATCCTGTCTTGTGCCCATTGCTTGCTGGGAAGGGCTCTGGCTTCCAGATGACCCTGAATTGGATAAAGCAGTTAAATATGGATGGATAATGCTTTGTGAAAGGTGAGCTCATGGAACAGTTAATATCTCTCCTGTAGGTATTATATACAAGCTGGGAAGAACATCTTTGTATGGCTGTAAAACTAGAAACAAATCCCTTTAACTTACATACAGCCTCTTGTGTAAATTGCTGTTAATTGTGTAAATAGTTGTCTCTCAGGGTTTGCAGCCTGATCATACAGTATTTGGTATGTTGAAGGTTACCACTAGCCTGATGTCTTGTTTCCCCCTTGCTAATTGCGCTAGATTCTGCTTTGCATTTCAGTGGGAGAACCGTTTCAGTGTTTGTGTGGCTTTTACAACCCTGTGTACTTCTTGCACTTAAACTGAAAAACAGACAAACGAAGAAGGAATGAAAATAAGCAGGATGAACTGGATTACCTTGGGGAACGATTTGCCATATGGTTATATGGTTGGAAGGGGTGCTACGAAGGAAGATGAACTGCACAGCAGTTGGGCTGTGTGGCCCCAGGTAGTGTTGGATCACTTTGCTGGTGGCCGAGGTCCAGAGTCACTGGAACAGTTGGATGATGAATTTAATGCAGCATTTCCAGTACAGTGTGTTACACCACGATGGGCTAATACTGAGCAGGACCTGCAGTAGGTCCTCAAATAAAAGTAAAAAAATGATAGTTCCCGTTGTCCTGTGTATTCTTCTAGGTTAATTATTGTTAACATACTGTATATGTATATATTTTCTGTAGATCCTCCTTACAAATGTAGTTTGATCCACCTAGTTTACGCATACTTTTAAATAAGCTTCTTTATTTAAATTTTTGCACTTATAATGTACAATATGATTGTTTATTCTGAACAGATGCTCTACATAATAGCTGCGACCAGGCAGTCATCCCCTCCACTGTGATGGTTTTCAAGAATTCATGAAGGATTTTCTTAAATTGAAAAGATTTTGACTTGCAAAGGAAGCCTTTTACTAAGACCAAATTTAAATTCCCCCAATTAATGGTTAATCCATTAATTAATCCAGGTGGATGCTGCACATTGGTGGTGGTGGAGGGGAGTCCCCATTACCTGTAAAGCACTTTGAGTGGAGTGTCCAGAAAAAGCGCTATATAAGTATAAGCAATTATTAATTATTATTATTAATGCTTTTGGAAACGGAGAAGGTTTTAGTCGGTTATTTTCTTTTTATTAGTGCCTTCAAAGGGCATCGGCTCTCTGAGAATAAATACAAAGGTTATACCCAGACACAGAACTCTTGCATTTCACAAAAAGATGAAAATCTTCTCTTTTCCTACTTGTATTTCTTCCATCATTCATTACACATGTATAAAGTATACATGTACTGTGATTTTAAATCACTTTAGCATCACATACTGTACTGTACTGAGTACTGTACCTTATATAATGGTAATGGTAAATAAAATGGTGTTCTGTAGCTGTACTCCTTTATGTTATATTTTGCTTTTTTCCATGGGCATTTGTAACCTTTGAGTTGTGCATATACATATGACTTACAACAACAGCAACTTGGAATTTAGCTTCTTTTCTAAAATACAAGCTAATTACGACGTATATGTAATCAGTCCTTTGTTTAGCATTTGCATTGTTTGTACAGACAGGCAAGCCCAGGCCAGCAATCTAAACTGTTTGGACCCGATGGCAAGACAATTCAAAACACGCTTAGACTAACCTCACTCCTGAAGCCAATATTAACACTAGGCAACAGGTCCTGTTTATTCTCTATAATGAGATCCTTTTGTTGACCTTTACTGAACCTGGTAATGAGAGCTACAGCCCCATACTCTCCCACACAGGGAGTAAAAGAGTTGCTTTGCGTGTGGGATGTTATTGTAGAGAGCTGAATTTAAGCCCAGGTTGTTTTATGTTGTGGGTACCTCTTATTATGTCCCATTGCAGCAGGACCTGTAGTAAAACATGGAGGTATGAAATACAGCTGCTTAACTGGGATGGATCAATGCAGCTCATGACAGAAGTAATACCAGAGGGAATGGGAGGATACATGGGAGAAGGCAGCGTACTGATCCAACAGACATCCCTCGGGACATTTAATATTCGCAAAACAAGAGTGGTGTATGAATACTGGAGTAGTAAGGCTCGCCTGTTACTTACTGTATAGTGTACAGCACACATCTTGTTGGAGCTTCAGTTTTTTGGGTACCAAGTTCTCAATTTTTTATATTTTCATAGTATTTGTTATAGTATTTGTTTGAAATAAAAAACAAATGCAAATCGGTAAAAGCAAGTACAGGGTAAAATCTAGAGAAGTCCTTTTTTCTTTGATAAACCCTACCATGACAATGGCACGGGAAATTAATGTATTAAATGAAAATGTAACCCTTACTTCCTTGGTATTTACCCATGAAGACATCAACAGCACTCCTCAGGCTGGGGAAACACAAAGTTCTAGATCAAATCTTCTCTCTCTCTATCTGTGTGTCTGTGTGTCTCATGGAGAGCAAGCTGGGGTATGCAAAGAGACAAATTCCTAATGCGAGAAATTGTAAAGGGCTAATAAAGTGATCTTATCTTATCTTATCTTATCTTAATTAGAAGCAGCATTCAAGAACACAATGGTACAGGAACTGGAGTCACTTAAGATAAACTTATAGGATCTAATGTCATTCTCTCATTTAAAAACAAACGTGAGATGGTAATTGGCAGTTACCAAAACTTTTGCAGCAGACAAGGATAATGCTTATTGACTGTAAAAGTGCTAACGTAGTGGCTATTAATAAAAAGGAAATAATTGTAGTCTGGATATGGAAACAATTATAAGAACTAGATTAGAGCCTAACACATATGGAAAGAGATCATAGGAACGGTTAGCATCCTGTTAGAAAAGGTAGCTCTTCCTTAACTAACCTGGCTTCCTTGGATAGTCAACACACTG